GCTGCTGCAGGGACGTGGGCACCAGGCGCCGAGGGGCACGGCCTCTCGCTCAGGCCCCCAAGGCCCACAGCAAACGTGTCCCCCTCCCTCCATCATTGCTTCCAGGAAGTGGGGCCGGGAACAGGGGTCCCGGGCGCCTGCGGATGTGAAGGTCAGGCCCTCGCTGCAGGGACGTGGGCACCAGGCGCCAAGGGGCACGGCCTCTCGCTCAGGCCCCCAAGGCCCACAGCAAACGTGTCCCCCTTATCCCTCCATCCCGGCCCCTGGGCTTCAGCCCCCCATCCGTGCCCTTTGAGTGCGGGAGGCAGTGGGGTGACCCCAGGGGAGCCTGGAGACTGCACAGAGGTGTGGGGAAGCCCGGCCACCCCCTCCCAGGTGCCTCTGCTCCACAAACCCTGATGGTGCGAGCAGGGAGCCAGCCCAGAGGCTGCAGCCCCACCTGCGCAGTGAACCCTGCGCTTTATGGAGTCAGGAGCCTCTCCTCTGCTCAGGGTGCCCCACCCTCTTATCCTGGCACCGGTACCCCCTGTGCTGGGATGGGAACCCCACTCAGGGTCCCCGTGTTCTGTCTGGAGGGGAGGGTGTGGCGAGGACGGTGACCCTGGGAGCTAGGCCACCAGGAGCCAGGGCCGCCTTCCTGTAGCGTCTCCTTCCCGAAGCTCCTGTGGGAACCCCCTCCTGTGGGAACTGCCCGAGGCTTGGTGTTCTTATGGAACCCCAGTCCCCTGGCCCACCCCTTGCCCACAGCCAAGTGACCAGACTGCCTATAATCTTGGGGACCACTGGGCACCCCAGAACAGAGGGATGGAGGCCCCACCCCACAGGGGAGGACATGGGGCGGGACCACAGTCCTGGGTGTGGGCTCCGGGAGGTCCTGCCTCACCCGCTTGGCTGAGGGCCGCGGGGCAGGGGTGGAAGTTTGCTGAGCAGCAGTGCTGGGGGTGGGGGGCCGGCTGGCCAGTGGCTACATGGTCAGCTCCTGTAGGAAATGGGGGGAGCGGGTCAGGCCAGGGGGCCCAGCAGAGCCAGGGGGGCGTCTGAAGGGCCAGGCCTCACCATGATGGCGTTGACGATGTCACTCTGGTTGTCCCTCAGCGCCCGCACGGCCTTGGCCCTGGACACGTTGGCCTGCGCCATCACCAGCTCAATGTCCCGCAGCTCCAGGCCCGCCTCGTCCACCTGGGGGCACAGGAGGCCTGGGCTGCCCCTGCCCAGCCAGAGCCGCCCC